TGCTGTCGTTATCCTATTAATATGATACCTTTCACGCGTCGTTACAGGTAGGCTGTTCCCCTTCATTGTGTACTGTCCCTTTGGTCTCCTATCTCCTAGTCCCATTTCCATAACTTTACAATTGCTCGTGTTAAATTCTAGTAGCCATTTCTCTGACCATCTCTGCAATCTGTTCAGGTCCTCTTGGAGGATCCTGCAATCCTCATCTGTCACAACTCTTCTCATCAACTTTGCATCATCCGCAAACATCGACATGTAGGACTCTACGCCTGTAAACATGTCGTTAACATATACAAGAAATAGAATTGGTCCCAGCACCGATCCTTGTGGTACTCCACTTGTTACTGTTCGCCAGTCCGACTTCTCGCCCCTTACCGTAACTCTTTGGCTCCTTCCTGTTAGGTAGTTCCTTATCCATTCTAGGACCTTTCCCCCCACCCCCGCCTGCCTCTCGAGCTTGAACAGCAGTCTCATGTGCGGTACTGTATCAAAGGCTTTTTGGCAGTCCAGAAATATGCAGTCTGCCCAACCATCTCTGTCCTGTCTTATCCTCGTTATTTTATCATAGAATTCCAGAATGTTTGTTAGGCACGATTTCCCTGTCCAGAACCCATGTTGATGTTTGTTCACAAACCTAATGTTCTCCAGGTGTGCTACCAGTCGTAGCCTAATTATTCTTTCCAGTATTTTACAGGGGATGCTTGTCAGTGATACAGGTCTGTAGTTAAGTGCCTCCTCCCTATCTCCTTTCTTGAAGATCGGCACGACATTTGCCTCCTTCCAGCAACTGGGCAATTCTCCTGACATAAGTGACTCATTAAAGATCATTGCCAGAGGCACGCTGAGGGCCTGTGCTGCTTCTTTTAGTATCCACGGTGATACTTTGTCTGGTCCAACTGCTTTAGTTGCATCTAGAGTTGTCAACTGTTTCATTACCTCCTCTGCTGTCACCTCTATATCTGATAGTCTTTCATCTAGGGTAACCCCTTCCAACAATGGGAGCTGCTCAGGCTCGGTAGTGAACACTCCATGGAAACTGGCATTCAGTGCCTCACAGATTTCCTTGTCACTTTCAGTATATGCCCCCTCTGTCTTCCTTAGTCTCGTCACTTGGTCGTTCACCGACATTTTTCTTCTTATATGACTGTGTAGTAACTTAGGTTGTTTTTTCGCTTTGATTGCAATATCGTTCTCATAGTCCCTTTCCGATGTTCGTCTTATGTTAATGTAATCGTTCCTAGCTCTGTTGTATCTGCTTCTGTTGTCCTCTGTTCTTTGTCTTCTGTACTTCCTCCACTCTCGCCTGCTGGCCATTTTTGCTTCCTGACACTGTCTATTAAACCATGGGTTATATATTCCTTCTTATTTTTTCCCTTTACCGTTGGTATAAATCTCTCTTCGGCCTCCTGGCATTTCTGTATGACTAGGTCCATCAGGTCACACTAGGTCCATGTGTGTGTGTGTGTGTGTGTGTGTGTGTGTGTGTGTGTGTGTGTGTGTGTGTGTGTGTGTGTGTGTGAATGTGTGTGTGTGTGTGTACCTGTTCTGTCTGTCTGTCTGTCTGTTGTCTCTCTCTCTCTCTCTCTCTCTCTCTCTCTCCCTCAAGAAAATACACACCGTAACCACAAGGTTATTTTTGCACCATACTTTGATGCAATTTTGCAATAACCTGGTTAAAAAAGTTGTGCTTACAATGTGTGTATGATGGGACATTATATACACTTAAAATAAAAGATAAAAAATCTTCTGAGAAAAGGCAATGAATTCATACTTAAATCGAGTCACAATAGGACCTGATCTTCTTAAAATGTTGTGGTTGGAAAACGTGTCTCTATGAAAAAGTCAGTTAATTTGTCTGAGGCTGGAGGCCAGATGCTTGGGACTAACTTCATTAAACGTTGCAGGTTTAAAGGTTATTTTATAGTATCAAACGGTTGGTATCGGGCCTCAACGGTTGGTATCGGACCTCAAGCTCCCCTTGAAGTGGTCAGCCCCTATGCACCACCTTCACGAAATCGGTGAATGTGAAATGTTCAGCATTGAACCCATACAGTAGCATTTATTTACTTGTGTATTCAGTCAGTGACATGTAAAACGAATGTTCAGATGACAGATTTACATTCTGGGTGCAACCTTTTTGTTAGTGATGGAGATAGTGTAACACGAAGATGGAAATTTCTGGGGTGAGATTGCAAGGGTGTGAATGGGGGAAATGATGAGGGTGTATATGGGAAAATGATGAGGGTGAATATGGGGGAAATGATGAGGGTGTATATGGGGGGAAATGATGAGGGTGTATATGGGGAAAATGATGAGGGTGAATATGGGGGGAAATAATGAGGGTGTATATGGGGGGAAATAATGAGGGTGTATATGGGGGGAAATGATGAGGGTGTATATGGGGGGAAATGATGAGGGTGTATATGGGGGGAAATGATGAGGGTGTATATGGGGGGAAATGATGAGGGTGTATATGGGTATAGATAGGGCTGGTGTATGCAGGGAAAGGGGGGGGGGGAGTTGTTGAGTGGGAAGGATATGGGGATGATGTGTGTGGGTGGTGATATGAAGTGTGTATGTAGGTTGGGAAGATAGGGAGGATGTGGTGGGTTGAGGAGGGTTTATGAGGGGGAGGATATTGATGGTGTGAGAGGGGAGTCGGGGAGAGTTGGTGTTCGAAGGGATAGGGAGGGTGTATTTTGTTGACATGGAGAGTGTCTTATCAGTGTTAGTTGTAGCAATGTGATTTTTATTAATATTAGTTGTAGCAATGTTAGTTTCAGGAGAACACACAACATATGCATTATTACCAAACTCTCCCAGTCATTGTCTCTTCAAATAACCTCTATCACAACGACAGGTGGTAAATTTCCCGCCAGTTGATCAATAGCAATAGTAGCCCATAACCCACACCAAACTTCAATCAGCTACCACAGCCGTTTGCTCCAGGCACGAACTCGTATATATTAGGACAAAAACCCACACTTGTGTATATGTGAGATTTATGTAAAGAAATTACACCAAGACTTTCGCACTCTCCAGAGTGCTTTGTCAAGTTCTGAGTGTGTGATTAGGAGGAGACTTACTTCTGAACGTCTAATCATTAGACGATGAAATGGAAGTCTGGTCCTAATCACACACTCAGACCTTGACAAAGTACTCAGGAGAGTGGGAAAGACTTGGTGTAAATTCCTTACATAAATTTCACAAATTCAGAAGAGTGGGTTTTTAACCTATGTTATTATGTCTGTGAGTAGACATTTCCATTACTTATCATTGGAAATGTAGAGTAGTAGACATGAGTAGAAATTTAAGTAGACATGAGTAGAAATGAGTAGACTTTTCCATTACTTATAATCGGCCGACCAGGGGAGCCGGACGGCCGAGCGGACAGCACGCGGGACTTGTGATCCTGTGGCCCTGGGTTCGATCCCAGACGCCAGCGAGAAACAATGGGGCAGAGTGTCTTCCACCCTATGCCCCTGTTACCTAGCAGTAAAATAGTTACCTGGGTGTCAGTCAGCTGTCACGGGCTGCTTCCTGGGGGTGGAGGCCTGGTCGAAGACCGGGCCGCGGGGACACTAAAAGCCCCGAAATCATCTCAAGATAACCTCAAAATCATATCTGTTTTTGAGTGAGCATCTGGCCATGATACCCCAGAAGGAACGCTTCCAAACATAGAAGTTCATTACAATAAGTAACAGCAGCTTTTACCAAAAAGTTATTTGCGAATAAACTATTTGAGTTGTTTACAAAGGCTGCCTTCCAAGACTGTGTGGAATGTCAGATGATTGGAGGAATCTTCAGCCAGCCCATCCTCGCGAGTTTTCACAACGTCATTAAACGGATGTACCAAATTGCCGAAATATAACCTAACCGAGGACCAACTAATTGAAAACGGGACATCACATCAATTTTGCGACCCGCTGTGATTTTTAATATATCAGTTTGTAGCCTAAGTGGATTTATACGTCGAAATGCGATGTAGTACACAGATCCGAGAGGATGGGATGTCCTGACTGATGATTGATATTTAAATGTTCAGTGCTGGAATTTTGACAACGCATAAATTTTTTGGCTATGAAAACTTAAAACACAATAGAAGAAACTAATTAATGACTGAAAAGTATTTACAACATTATTTATATCAGGAGAATTAATATTTCTGTGAATTTGTAGCACTAATTTTGGATGGGCAAATATCAGTATTAGAAATGTGATAAATCGTTACTTCTCTGTTAGTTTCCATCAAATTTTAATATGTTTCTCATATAATGAACATTGTTCAAGGCACTACAAAACTAAATTATGGTTTCCCTGTTTGTAAATAATTAAAATTTGATTGAGTTGTTAACAATTTATAAAGACAAGTAAAAGCATGTGGGGAAGATTTTTAAGACGCACATGACATCGGAGGATATGGAGAAAGCAAGATGCAGCAGGCAGACAGGAGCCACAGTGTTGAGCATGCAAGGTGTGGCTGACATGTGTTTAAGTACTGAGAGGTGTTTTCCAGGAAGCACAGCATGTATGTGCAAGCGTTAACTGAATATTTAGATGTAAAACTAGGAGCACACATGGGCTGTGTATATCCTCTCGATATTTATTGATGTGGCCTCGAGGGAGGTCAAATAAGGAGACAGTGTGTAAACTAAATTTTGGTTTTTGGTTTGGGTTTTTGTGAGTTATTTCATTAACATAAAATGTGAACCTTAATATATACACACTAGTATACATTTTGTCCACAGGTCTCATGTATACTGTCTTATAGGGCAGCTAGTGACTAACACGATAAAGTGTGTGGAGTAGTTTTGGTGAAGGAGAGAACAAATAGATTTTGATAGAGTGGCACAGAATATATTGATTTCTGTAAACAAAATTTTAATTAACAATAAATAATCAATTAAAATTATTATTTCCTTGTATATGCTTGATCTCAATGGGTTCTTCTCCCGTGTAGCAACTGCGTCTCGGTGATAAGAGGTGGAGGTATATATGTCCGTCCAAGGCAACAGCAGCTGCAATAGGCTCAGAGCCCGATAGTAAGGTTCAAACAGACACAACAGCTCGCTTGCTCCAGGCACCACAATAAGTCTCGTCCAGGTACTACGACACACCTGCACCAACCGCAGAACACACCTGTACGACCCACCACAACACAAGTGCAGCAGGAGACAGCCATTCCAGCAGTTATCAGCATCACCAAAGCGGCAAGCCTTTTACCGTCAGCTGTTCAGCGTCTTCATCATGGCCAAGCAGCTCCTGCTGGTGTTTCTCTCGGTAATAATATCCACAAGTAATTTATTAGTTTTTTTTTACAATCTTTTTACTGGTATTTTGGGAATATTTCATTACACCTGTATAGGGGGAATGCCTGTGTCTGTCACTTAGTATGTCTGTGTTCTCTTTGAGAATGTCTCCTTAACGTGTGCATGCAAAGACAGATTATCTTGGTCAACCAGAAATAACAGAAGTATGCAACAAATATTTTAATTCGTAGAAAATCAGACAAAACATTATTGGGCTTAAAAAATTGTTTGTCTAAAGAAAAATGTTAACGTTTGGCTACAATATAAGTTGCAGAATTGAACACAATTATTTGTTATTTTTTTTTTCGTCTTAATGATGTTACTGTTAATTATAAATTCAGGAAAATATTTCCATGGTTACCAAAAATTATGTCGGTAGAAATTACTTTTAAAATCACTGTTTCTTGATGTTTAAAAAAGAAAATTTATATGGATTGATTCTTTGAGTTGAAGAGAAGCTGTGTGTAGGGTATGCATGTTTAACCTGTCCTCCTAACAGAGCATCGCATTGTGACGTATACTTTACTTTAGGCCATAAATTGTCGTATTAGAAAATGGCAGTGACTCGCAAAACTTACATAATGTCCCGTTTTTGTTTTGGGTCCTCTGATAGGTTATATAAGGGCACTTTAGTACGACAGTTTCTTGACGTTGGGAAACCTTAGGAGGACAGTCTGTGTTGTAGACTTCGTAAAATATGTACAGACCAGCTACATCTGGCCGGTGTTAGAGACTGAAGATGTATTACACGGAGTCTAGTCCATTAAGTCTGCTCCTCATCAGATGTGTGTCTAGTTGGCATTAAACCCGAATTAATAGCAAGAACTCTATGGCATATCTAATTTGTGAGTTTAAAAGTGTTGAATATCCTTTAGTATCTAAGATATGTGTATTACTCATCAGAAAATCTAATTAGCTAGTGAGATTAGCTAACAAAGCTTTCAAATATTTAGTATACAATAATTAATGTTTAAATAAGTGACTAAATTGTGTTCATCTTTATGAGATGAACACAACAATTCACAATTGTGTGTTGAACAATGAACAATTCTCCTTCTTCGGTTTCTTCTTCTTCTTCTTCTTCTTCTTCTTCTTCTTCTTCTTCTTCTTCTTCTTCTTCTTCTTCTTCTTCTTCTTCTTCTTCTTCTTCTTCTTCTTCTTCTTCTTCTTCTTCTTCTTCTTCTTCTTCTCATTATTATTATTATTATTATTATTATTATTATTACTAGTAGTAGTAGTAGTAGTAGTAGTAGTAGTAGTAGTAGTAGTAGTAGTAGTAGTAAGAGTAGTAGTATTAGTAAGAGTAGTAGTAGTATTAGTAGTAGAGAAAGATGTAGTAGCGAGCATAATAATACAAGTAAATAAATAGTATTAACCAAATGTAATATATGTGTGTTGTAGTACTACTAATAATGGCAATAGATTAATAATTTCAAAATTGTAAGTGAATTTTTTCTGAAAGAGAGAGAGATGTAGACAGACAGAACAAACTGAGAGACAGAGACAAAGTGAAAGATAAAGACACACTCAGGGTACCTGGGTTGACCAGGGCACCGCCGAGTCTCCCATCCAGTCTACTATAAACGATATAATTATTGCTATTTTTTAGGTTTACTAAACATTGTGAATGATGGTAACTCTCAGCTCTATTTTGCTGGGATAGCACTGACAGATATAACATCACTGACATATAACATCACTGACAGCTCTACCACCACTGACAACAATAACACTAACAACTATAACAATACCGATAACTATAATAACACTGACAACAATAACATTGACAACTATAACAACACTGACAACTATAACAAGACTGATAACTATAGCAACACTAACAACAATAACAAAGTGACAATAATAACACTGACAACAATAACAAAACTAACAACAATAACACTGACAATTATAATGAAACTGACAACAATAACAACACACATATAACAACACTGACAACTATACGAACCCTGACAACTAAAGGAACACTGGCAAAAATTACAAGGACAACAATACCAACACTGGCAACATAACCAACACTGACAACATAACCAACACTGACAACATAACCAACACTGACAACATAACCAACACTGAAAATAATATCACTAAAAATAATAACACTGACAACAATAAAAACACTAACTTCTCGGTTATATCTTGAGATGATTTCGGGGCTTTAGTGTCCCCGCGGCCCGGTCCTCGACCAGGCCTCCATCCCCAGGAAGCAGCCCGTGACAGCTGATTAACACCCAGGTACCTATTTTACTGCTAGGTAACAGGGGCATAGGGTGAAAGAAACTCTGCCCATTGTTTCTCGCCGGCGCCTGGGATCGAACCCAGGACCACAGGATCACAAGTCCAGCGTGCTGTCCGCTCGGCCGACCGGCTCTCTCAATAACTTCAATACGACTGATAACTATAACATTGATAACTATAACAACATTGACAAAAATAACACTGACAATAATAACAACAATAACAATGCTGAGAACAATAACACTGACCACTATAGCAACGCTGACCACTATAGCAACGCTGACAATAATAACAACAATAACAACACTGACAACAATAACAACACTGACAATAACAACACTGACAACAATAACAACACTGACAATAACAACACTGACAACAATAACAACACTGACAATAACAACACTGACAACAATAACAACACTGACAATAACAACACTGACAACAATAACAACACTGACAATAACAACACTGACAACAATAACAACACTGACAATAACAACACTGACAACAATAACAACACTGACAACAATAACAACTATAGCAACTGACAACTATAACACAGACAACAATAACAACACAGACAACTATTACAACACTGACAACTATTACAACACTGACAACTATTACAACACTGACAACTATTACAACACTGACAACTTTAACACTGACAACTATTACAACACTGACAACTTTAACAACACTGACAACTTTAACAACACTGACAACTATTACAACACTGACAACTTTAACAACACTGATAACTATTACAACACTGACAACTTTAACAACACTGATAACTATAACAACACTGACAACTTTAACAACACTGATAACTATTACAACACTGACAACTTTAACAACACTGATAACTATAACAACACTGACACCTATAGCAACAATGTCTCTCATTGAGTGCTAGCCAAGATTGTCTGTGATTTGCATTATGCAGTATAACAATGTTGGAATGTTTTATATTGAACAAATCCACAAGAGCCGTGATGAGGGTTCGAACCTACGCCCGGGATGATCCCAGACGTGGGTCATTTTACTTGTCATTTGATGTATCACGCTAGTGAGATTTCTGTGTGTGTGTTTTATATTGTTTATCAGTTGTTGTTTCAGCAGGAACTAATAAACAAGACGATTGTCTCCTGCAGGTTGCGTTGGTGGCGGCGCTGCTCTGTGGCTTCGCTGCCGGATACTGTGAGCCAACTTGCCCGAGCCCTCTTCCTCCTACACGTAAGGTAGCTGATCCTCTCGACTGTACTCGATATTACATCTGTTTGGAGGACGATAACTTGCCCTCAGACTCTTCTATAGCTTGTCCAACTGGTCAATCCTTCGACCTAACAACATCAGATTGTGCTTCTCAGCCAACTTGCTTACCAACCTGCACCATACCAGATTGTCATCTACGATGTGGCACAGCTGATATCAATATCTTTGACCCGAATAATTGCAGCATCTTCTACCAATGTGTGGGTGGTCTTCTGATAGGACCTATCGTTTGCCCCGTGAATCTTCCCTACTTTAACGGACTAAGTTGCGGCACGGTTAAGAGCAAGTGCTGCAGTGACCCCTGCCTTGCTTTCTGCTTTGAAGTGGGAATGGAGATTCCCGACCCCCACGACTGCACCAGATACTATTTGTGTACCAGAACAGGACCAGTCACCGAGGAGGAACATCAAACCTGCTCTTCAGGTTCTAATTTTGACATAAGCACAGGTCACTGTGTGGCCGGCGCCCCTTGTAACATTCCGTGTGGTAAGACCACGGCCCCTGGGGAAAGTACGACCACTCCAACTCCTAACTGTGAGGAGTCTATGACATGCACGGCAGTGGGACAATTCCCCAAGTGCATGACGTGTGACCAGCAGTTCTTTAACTGTCCTAACATTGGCCAGTCAGCCATCGTTGAGACTTGCCCAGAATCCTATGTATTTAACACGGATCCCGCCTATCCTTACTGCGTTATACCCAGTGACTGCCCCCACCACCCACTGTACAAAGTCCACCAACCACTGCATTAAGCTCACGAACCACTGAACTCACTCCTCCACCCACTCAACTTATGATACCACTTACCTGGAAACAATTGGTGCGACATGCCTCTTATCCGGGCCACCAGATACTCCCACCACCTATCCATCACTATTACCCTTCCCTGGGACCATTATCTACCCCTCCGTCACCCACTTGTACTTTTATCTAATATTTACATTTGTGCAATCACCTGCACCTGACCACACTGCCTGCATGTTGAGGCAAATATTGTTAACCGTGAAGAAAAAAATGTATAACATAAATAAAATGTGTATAACTTGTAGCTAATAATGTGTAAAGTGCTGCAAATGATGTATAAATTTAATGAAATCACATATGACTTGTAGTAAATAATGGAAAAACTTGTAGCTAATAATCTATAACTTGTAACAAATAATGTATAACTTGCAGCAAGTAACATACAACCTGAAAAAAATAATGTATAACCATTAAAAAGAAATGTATAACTTGGAAAAATATGTTTTAATCAAGTAAACAAGCCAAACATAACTGCTGTTTGCTTTCCCTAGATTTTCTTTGTTATAGAGAGGATAGAGAGGAAGAAATTTGAGAGGGAGTAGAGAGGAAGAGATGAAAGGGGGGTAGAGAGGAAGAAACGGAGAGGAGTGTTATGAGAGACCCGGGCACAGACAGTTTATATCTAATATAGTTTAGTATATTTAGTAATTAAATCAAATATACAGCGAATACAAGATGATTTAGATAGACATTTAAGATAGACGCAAGATTAGAAGATGGTTTTTGCAGCCCATCCTCTAAAAGGAAAGTAGTTATATTAGTAACGATGAGGTCGATCGTACAATTTGGACGTGACGGATCAATAGGAAGTAGACTTTTGTATTATTGAATTTGCACAAACCGGAAAAGTTGTTCTACTTATACAGACGGTGAGTCACAATAATGTGGCTGAAGATATGATGACCAAAACCACACTGTACTCACCTAATTGTGCTTGCGGGGGTTGAGCTTTGGCTCTTTGGGCCCGCCTCTCAACTGTCAATCAACTGGTGTACAGATTCCTGAGCCTACTGGGCTCTATCATATCTACATTTAAAACTGTGTATGGAGTCAGCCTCCACCACATCTCTGCCTAATGCATTCCACCTGTTAACTACTCTGACACTGAAAAAGTTCTTTCTAACGTCCCTGTGGCTCATTTGGGTACTCAGTTTCCACCTGTGTCCCCTTGTTCGCGTACCGCCAGTGTTGAATAGTTTATCCTTGTCTACCCTGTCAATTCCCCTGAGGATTTTGTAGGTAGTGATCATGTCTCCCCTCACTCTTCTGTCTTCCAGTGTCGTAAGGTGCATTTCCCGCAGTCTTTCCTCGTAACTCATGCCTCTTAGTTCTGGGACCAGTCTAGTGGCATACCTCTGAACTTTTTCCAGCTTCGTCTTGTGCTTGACAAGGTACGGGCTCCATGCTGGGGCCGCATACTCCAGGATTGGTCTTACGTATGTGGTGTACAAGATTCTAAACGATTCCTTACACAGGTTCCTGAAGGCTGTTCTGATGTTAGCCAGCCTTGCATATGCCGCAGACGTAATTCTTTTTATGTGGGCTTCAGGAGACAGGTTTGGTGTGATATCAATTCCTAGATCTTTCTCTCTTTCCGTTTCATTAAGTACTTCATCTCCTATTCTGTATCTTGTGTCTGGCCTCCTGTTTCCACCGCCTAGTTTCATTACTTTGCATTTACTCGGGTTAAACTTTAACAGCCATTTGTTGGACCATTCATTCAGTCTGTCTAGGTCGTCCTGTAGCCTCCTACTATCATCCTCTGTTTCAATCCTCCTCATAATTTTTGCATCATCAGCAAACATTGAGAGAAACGATTCTATACCCTCTGGGAGATCATTTACATATATCAGAAACAGTATTGGTCCAAGGACTGACCCCTGCGGGACTCCACTTGTGACGTCACGCCAATCCGAGACCTCACCCCTCACAGTGACTCGTTGTCTTCTGTTGCTTAGGTACTCCCTTATCCAACGGAGTACCTTCCCTTTCACTCCAGCCTGCATCTCCAGCTTTCTCACTAGCCTCTTGTGTGGTACTGTATCAAAGGCTTTTTGACAATCCAAAAATATGCAGTCTGCCCACCCCTCTCTTTCTTGCCTGATTTTTGTTGCCTGGTCGTAGAATTCAATTAGCCCTGTGAGGCAGGACTTGCCATCCCTGAACCCATGTTGATGCTGTGTTACAAAGTTCTTTCGCTCCAGATGTTCCACTAGCTTTCTTCGCACAATCTTCTCCATCAGCTTGCATGGTATGCAGGTTAGGGACACTGGCCTGTAGTTCAGTGCCTCCTGCCTATCCCCTTTCTTGTATATTGGAACTACATTAGCTGCCTTCCAAATTTCTGGCAGTTCCCCTGTTTCCAGTGATTTGTTATACACTATGGAGAGTGGCAGGCACAGTGCTTCTGCTCCTTCCCTTAGTATCCAAGGGGAGATTCCATCTGGGCCTATAGCCTTTGTCACATCCAACTCTAGTAAACACTTCTTTACTTCCCCACTGGTAATCTCAAACTCTTCTAGTGGTTCCTGGTTAACTATTCCCTCTCTTATCTCTGGAATCTCTCCTTGCTCTAAGGTGAAGACCTCCTGGAATTTCTTATTCAGTTCCTCACACACTTCCTTGTCGTTTGTAGTGAATCCTTCTGCCCCTATCCTTATATTCATTACCTGTTCCTTTACTGTTGTTTTTCTCCTGATGTGACTATGCAGCAATTTGGGTTGAGTCTTTGCCTTGCTTGCGATGTCATTTTCGTATTGTCTTTCTGCCTCTCTTCTCATCCTGACATATTCATTCCTGGCACTCTGGTATCTTTCTCTGCTCTCAAGTGTCCTGTTATTCCTATAGTTTCTCCATGCCCTATTACTTTGCTGCTTAGCTAGCCTACATCTCTGATTAAACCATGGGTTTCTCATCTTCATTTCATTGGTTTCCTTTTGGACTGGGACAAACTTGTTCGCTGCTTCCTTGCACTTGTGCGTGATGAAGTCCATCATGTCCTGGGCCGTCTTTCCCCTGAGCTCTGTTTCCCATGTTATATCTGTTAGGAATTTTCTTAACTCCTCATAGTTTCCCTTTCGGAATGCCAGTTTTTTGTTTTCAGTACCCCTCCTCGAGTTCAATAACCCTTCCTCAACCAGATACTCAAACGCCAGTACACTGTGGTCGCTCATTCCTACTGGGGCCTCATAGCCGATTTCCCTTATGTCGGAGTCGTTCAGAGTGAAGACTAGGTCGAGTCTCGCTGGTTCATCGTTTCCTCTCATCCTAGTGGGTTCCCTGACATGTTGGCTTAGAAAGTTTCTTGTCGCCACCTCCATTAGTTTGGCTCTCCATGTATCCTCTCCTCCATGCGGTTCCTTGTTCTCCCAGTCTATCTTTCCGTGATTGAAGTCTCGCATGATGAGCAGATGGGATCTATTTCTACAGGCAGCAGAGGCTGCCCTCTCAATTATAGTGTTAACTGCCATGTTGTTGTTGTCATACTCTTGCCTTGGTCTTCTGTCATTTGGTGGAGGGTTATATATCACTGCTACTACTACTTTTGGTCCTCCCAATGTCATGGTGCCTGTTATGTAGTCTCTGAATCCCTCGCAGCCCGGGATGACCATCTCCTTGAAGCTCCATTCCTTTCTCATTAGTAGGGCCACTCCAACGTCTCCCCATCCTTCCCTCTCTTTCCTTATTACAGTGTAGTTCTGGGGAAACACCGCATTCGTTATGATACCTGAAAGTTTTGTTTATGTGAGTCCGATTACATCTGGGTTCACTTCTTGTGTTCTTTCCCGTAGTTCACTTGCCTTGCTTGTGATCCCATTTATGTTCGAGTACATCACCTTGAAGCTGACTTTCTTCTGTCCTTTCTCAGATCCTATTGCTTCCCCTGAAACAGGAAAATGGGGAGGGACCGGGATGTGGGGGGCCTATGAAGGGGGACCTGGGGAATCTGGGGTGTGCGGGGGCTGGGAGGATCTGGTACGGGGAGGGTGGTGTAGGAGGGAGGGCTTGGGGGGTAGGGGTGGGTGAGCGGGGAAGCCTGGGGGGGGGGTGAGAGGGGGAGGCTATGGAGAGTGTGGGAGAAGGGGAGGCTTGGGGGGTATGGGAGGAGGGAGGGCTTGGAGGAATGAGGGGGGGGGGGGCTTGGGGGGGCATAAAAGGAAGCAGGGCTTGGGGGGGAGGGGGGGATAGGGAGTGCCGAGGGGGATGAGGAAAAAGGGAAGGCTGAGGAGAGTGGGAGAGAAGGGAGGGCTCAGGAGAATGGAGGATACTGGAGGGGTTTAGGGGGCGTGGGGGAGAAGGGAGGGCATGGAGGATTAGGGAGGGCTTGGGGGGTGGGGAAGAAGGGAGATCCTGGGGAGGGGGGAGTTAGGGCATCTATTGGGTGGAGGATGGGGCAGGTGCTTCTCTTACTGTGTCTGTTGAGTCGCTTGTGGAGGGTTCCCCGCTCCCCTCTGGGATTGTAGGGCTCGGAGTTGTGGCTCCCCGATTCCTTTCTTTCTCCCTGTGCTCCCTCCTTGCGGCTGTTGCCCTCTCTCTCTCTCTCGTCCCTTGTCATATCCCTCTGCAGGAATATTTTTTTCAACCTCTGTACATTTGCTAGTCCGCTCTTCCTTGCTAGCAAGTCCTCTTTTGTTCTCTCGCTCTTGAATACCACCTCTATCACACGGTCTCTGTCCTCCCTAATCCAGACTTCCTGTTCCTCTCCATCCTCTGAGTATGCAACTCCCAAGTTTGTCTCCCTTCGATTGCTTCCCCGAGTTAGTATCTCATCTCTCGTCATGCTTTCCCCCTATGAGAGAGAAAGAGGAGACAGAGAGAGAGGGGGAGAGCGAGGGGGAGAGAGAAAAGTGAGTATGTGTGTGTGTGTGTGTGTGTGTGTGTGTGTGTGTGTGTGTGTGTGTGTGTGTGTGTGTGTGTGTGTGTGTGTGTGCGTGTGTGTTGTGTGTTGTGTGTGTGTGTGTGTGTGTGTGTGTGTGTGTGTGTGTGTGTGTGTGTGTGTGTGTACTGGATGGGTGGGGACGTGTGTGTGCGTATGGGGGGTGGGAGGGAGGGCGGGGAAGAATGAACGAAGGAAGGAATGTAAGAGGGAAGGAAGGAGGGAGTGAGTGAGGGAGGGAAGTTAGGGGTACGTAGAGGAG